TGTGTACGATTGACGACCAAGGGAAAAGGGAGGTTGGCTCAGATTCAAATGAAGATGGTTGAGCGCAGTGGGCTTCCCGACGAGGAAAGGGGAACTCAGTCTCTACAAACTCGACGTGTCGAGAAACATAGAGTCGAGTTGAAGAGATATCAAGGCATAGGAATGCACTTTGAGTTAAAGAATAACCGACAAAGATGCAGGGCGTTGAACGAGGATTGAGCTTGTGTTTCGAGTACGGTCTAAGCCAGGGAAAGCATAGGCACCCAAAAGTTCGAAGCTTGTTATAGTTTGGTGTTTCGCCGAAGAGAAGCTGATAAGGAGATTGATGACCAAGAACCGAGGTTGGGAGACGATTTATGAGGTATATGGCTGTTGGAATTGCAAAACTCCAATAAGTGTGGGGTATGGATGCATGAGTGAGAAGGGTTAGAGCTGTTTCGACGATGTGCCGATGTTTTCTTTCGGATATCCCGTTATGTTCGGGAGTATGAGATGGTGTGGTGTAGTGGGAAATTCCATGAGTGGATAGGAAGGCTTTGAGAGCAATATATTCACCGCCATTATCGGAATGGAGTGAACATATCTTAGTTTGGAATCGGTTCTCTACTATGGGTTTGAATTTGGTAAAGACATTAAGTACATCGGATTTTCTTTTGAGAGGGTATAGCCACGTGTATCGGGTATAATGATCGACAAATATAACATAATATTTGAAGCCATCAAAGGATAGGACGGGTGATGACCATACATCGGAGAAGAGAATTTCTAATGGTCGAGATGAAGTTACGGACGAGATAGAAAACGATTGCTTATGGCTTTTATTGATGAAACATGAATCACAAGACAAGGGAAGACTAGACTTTGTGGATATAGGTAGAGAGAAACTCGAAACAACTTTATTAAGAACATCATATGATGGATGACCCAATCTATGATGCCAGTTAAAAAGAGAGGTTTTGATAATCGGGTAAGCTCGGGGAAGATGGGTGGTAGTAGGTGACTTGGGTGACACGGAAGGCCATTCGTACACACCATTGTTAAGCTGTCCTTGAACCATTATTGCCCCCGTGGTGCGATCCTTCACCTGAAAATGGGAAGAAAAGAATTCAATAGAGACATTATTGGATGAGCATAGTTTGTTGATGGAGATAAGGTTCTTGTGAATATTAGGGACGTATAAAACATTGTTTAGAGTAAATGAGCGAGAGGAAGAGGGTAAGAGGGTAGAACCCGTGTGTGCAATCGCAAGCCCTGTACCATCACCTATAACGACCTCGTCTCGGCCATGATATGGTTCATGAAGAGAGAGATTGTTGAGGTCAGTCGTAATATGATGAGACGCCCCAGAGTCGAGTAGCCATGATGGAGAAGGCTTTGAAAGAGCTGCCGGATTAGCCGAGGGTTGCCATGAATGGTGGGGACGTGATTGGGATGGCTGGACAGTGTTGGAGAAGCCAGGAGGGAGGAGGCGACAGAATCTCGCGCTGTGTCCGTAAGTGCCACAGATTTGACACTTACCTTGATAGCCTCGAGGTGGATTGCTGGATGTCCGAGCAAAGCGATTGTCATGTTGAGGGATACGATTGTTTCCTTGCCAGGGTCGTCGAGGCTTTTGTTGGGATGCGTTTGCAGTGATAGGTATAGCAGTTGTTTCATCAGATGAAGCAAGGACATCAACTTCTGCACTGAGAAGTTTTTCATGTAGTTCAACAAAAGAAATTGTAGTGTCTTTTGCATGAACTACATCCTTGATGGTCTTGTATTCGTCTCCAAGGCCGGCCAGAATCAGATCAAGGAGATCTTCTTCGTCCATCGGTTTCTCGAGCAATGCGAGTTCATCACTCTTCACTTTGAAGAAGTGCATGTACTCATCAATGGATTTTGTGCCCTTGGAGTGGCGGCGAAGCTGCTCCTTGATTTGTTTAATATGACCGCGACTGGATCTGCCGTATGTTGTTGCAAGAGTGATCCAAGCATCAGCGGATGAAGGAGCCGAGGCAATGAGAGCTTGGCAGGATCCTGTGATGGACCCAAGTAGGGCAGAAAAAACGAGTCGATCTTGGCGGAACCATGGGATGTAGGCCGGATTCTTGACGGAGACATTGTTGGTGATGATGGTCGCCGGTGGTGCAGTTTCAGGATCGAGGAAGCTATCAAGGTTATAACCTTGAAGGAGAGCTCGGAGTTGAACACTCCATGTGATGTAATTCAGGGCCGTTAGCTTGGAAACATTTGAGGTGTTGATGTTAATCAACGTGTTTTGAGGATTTGCGGTATCAAAGGGAGTGACATTGTCACTGTTTTGGGCATTGGGTGAGGAGTTGTCGGTGGCCATGATCGAGAGGAGGTGATAATTGGGAGAAAGGCTTTGTAAAAAAAAAAAATTAGAGCGTCGCGAGACTCCAGGCTCTTGATACCATGAAAGGAGAAATGCTTTTCTTGTATTATTTCCTCACGTCAACCCTAATAATATACAGGAGATTGTTCTAGATCTAAGGAGTTACATGAGGAAGGAAATCAGTTTGTTACAGATATTTAGCAATTATAGATATCGAATACAATTTATATTAAGTGCTGATACTTATTGATATTGTCTTCCTTTACAAAGTATAATCATCTAACAAAGTATGATCGGTATGACCAAAGTCTGCTCATCTGGCCAAAGTCTGCCCATATGACCAATATCTGATTGTTTGACCAAAGTATGATCGGTATGACCAAAGTCGGATCGTATGACCAAAGTCTGACTGTCTGACCAAAGTCTGATCGTGTAATCATTTGATTGTATGACCAATTTAAACTTGAAATTTTGTTATATGGGATGATTATTACCATGTTAAAACTTTTAAAATGACAAATTCATCAATTTTCAACAAGTCTGATCGCCTGACCAAAGTCTAACTATATGACCAAAGTCTGATCGTATGATCAAAGTCTGGTCGGTATGACCATTTTTACATTAAAAATAAAGACCTAAATTAAGTTTAAACAATTCAAAAAGTTGTTTAAGGGTTATAAAAACACATTTTCATCGTTTTGATGATCTAATTCCATATGTATAAAAATCTATCAACTTAACTCAAAGTCTGATCGTCAGACCAAATTCTGACCGTATGACCAAAGTCTGACCGATATGACCAGTATGCTATTTTAAGAGCCAAAGTTTCTCTGAGGATTTTTATCAAACACTTTCTATGTATTCTCAAATTCTTCAACTTTGGAATGTCAGATCTCGTCATAGATAGAAATTTGACAAATATAACAAGAAAACTAAGAAAATTGTTAATAGAATCGTAACGAAATCTCTTTGGGAGAAAAAAAATCAGAAAATGTTTGTTAGTTTTAAATTTTTAGAAAAAGTGAAAGAATAAGTTTTTCACTCCAAAAGTTTTTTGCCGATTCACATATAAAAGTGCCACATATTCAACTTCATAATGGCTAAATTGGTCTTTTCAGTATTTTTTTTCTTTCTAAAACCCTAACCCTAGAAGGTCATGCGGTGAAGTACAAATCGATATTTAGGGTTATTTTTGCAATTTTGCCTGATTAATAAGGGTTAAATTCGATATTTGTTATAAGGGATGGAATCGGAGTTTTTGTACAGTCACCTAAATTTGTGGGGCCTTACTTTTTTTATAAATATTTTTAAAATTAATAAATTTTTTAATAAAATAAAAAATATTATAAATTAAAAAGATTTAAATTTTGTTATATTGTATTAATCTTTTATATTAGGATAATTCTATTTAAAACCCTGTACTTTTCTCTCGTCTCAATTTAAACCCTATACTTTTTTTTGATCCAAAAAAACATTGTACTTTTAAAAATTGACAATTAAAATTCTATACTTTTAAAAATTGGCAAATAAAACCCTGAACGAAAAACAATATTATTTAATGCTGACATGACATCCTAGTCATCTGCCACATCATCAATCCCTAATATTTAATAATATTAATTAATAAAAAATAAAAATAAAAAAAATTAATAATAATAAAAATAAAATTTTAAAAATTATATATATTCATAAAATTATACACATATATAAACATGTTTATAAAAATTTTAAAATTATATACATATATAAATATATTTATATATACATATATACATATATATACATATGATA